TTTTCTCTAACTCTACACTGTTCAACACAACAAGCTCAGCAGACCTTACTGGTCTATTGTTTTCCCAAACTGCTCTGAGGTTCTCCCAACCTGATCTGCTCCTAACTGAGGAACTACTCTATGGCCTCCTCAAACTGATCTGAGGAACTGGGGCTGGAGCATGTCCTTTTAAAGACTGAAGGAAGAACCAGCAAAAGAATGTTGCAATAGGGAATGAGTATTACATCATGTTCCAATCTAGATTAAGTCTAGATTGGATGTGCAACATGCACAGCAATATTTCATCCCCACACAGGACTATCACACAATCACAAAAGGTTTAGTGGTGATGGGTCTCTTTATTTTAATCTACTTGATCACACATACCTATCAGCCAGAAGAAGGGGTGATTCACAGAAATAATCTTCCTCCCTCTGGGAAATCCCACAGACACACAAGAGAAAACTCATAACCTCTAGAATCAGAAAATCAGGGGGTTTACTCTTGATTATAAGGCATTGTCATTCCAGGAAATCCAGATGCCAAAGCCTTCTTTATCATTGAGGGGAAGAAACATTCTTCCAATCTCATTGATTGCATTGATCAGAGTGACTTCGAAAGTGCAATCTTGAGTAAGCTTGAGAATCCCGTTATTGTATTTTTAGGAAATCAAAACAGACCAAGAACATATTGAGAGACTAAATCTGAAGAGGACTTCAAAATCCCCTGATGGTTAATCGTGATTTTTTCCTTTACCAACAATTTTCCTAGTTGAACTGCGGTCAAATGTTTTTGAGCCAAATTTCAAGGGACCAACAAAAAAGAGGACTGTCAGAGGTTCTGAGTTAGGGAGGTTTAGACTCAGTCATAACAGCATTTCTGTTTTGAGAAACATACAAGAATTGCAGGAAATCGTACATTTCAATATTCTGGGCCTATTAAATGAGCTTGCAGGATGCTGAACTTGGAGTCAAAGGTTGATTTGTCCAATTAGTCTTTCACTTCCTCTCAAAACACTTTAATCTACTTTTTATTGCTTTTCTCTTTCCTGTGTCAAGAAAATAATAGCCAAAAACCTCAGGAATTGGAGTTACAGGAGGTTTCAGAGTAGCTGTTGAATTGGGGAATTCAGAGAGATTTGAAAAAATTTCGACTTCGAGAGGTTACAGTTATTGAAGTCAATTGTGGTTGTAGTTTCAAAAACTACCTCAAATTCCACAACAGATAAAAATAGATCCCCCGATGTCTCAAAATACTGCGGCCATGCAAACGCAAAGAGGGCACCAAGTGCCATCAATCATGGAGGAAGCATGCTTCAACCATGGGCATTATCATCAAATAACCCGGATTAATTATCAGAAAGGATATCAAGAAGACCACGCAAGACACATCAGGTAGGCCACAAAAAGCCGGTCATGGATAAACACACTTTCCATGCGATGACGTCAGAAAAAACACTTGCTGATAGGGAATACTGCCCTTGAGCCCCCTCAACAGAACATCCTTGAAAGCGACTCACAGTAAATATTGACTGCCGTATAAAAGTGTACCACAGTTGACAATTCCAACATAAACTGCGAAGTTTCTGACACTCTGAAAACAGAAGTGGTGTGCCTCGAAAAAAAAAAGTACAACATTTAATCAGTGGAAACGTGGCCCCTGTGGTGATGCATCTAAGCATGAAGCGTTTCTTCTGCACCATGCTGGTATGTTCCCCATGGTGGCCAACCATGTTGGCAATGCCAACGAGTCATGATCAAAGAGCTGATGCCTTTTGCGAGGACCCCGACTACACCTCTGACACTCTTCAACTCATCAGCCTCACTAAAATTCTCCAACTACTGAGTGACACTGGCTCAAGAAACAGATATGAAGTGTCATCCATCACCAGGTCCGCAACCACTGGTGGATTCATCCTAGTGTTGGATGACACTTCCACAGTCATACACTTGGGCCAAGACCTCACTGGGTTTGCAAGACCCGAGAACAACCTGGTTTATTCAATGAGTGGGGATTTTGTTTCACAATTCGAGGGAATTGTTGCTGTTGGCCAGGGAGATAGTTACTTGGTGGCCAGTGAATCAGTGGGAGTTGATGGGGCATTCTATCCCATTATTCAAGAAATACAATTGCCTCAAGATGGAGGCAGTAGTGGATCAGAAGGTAAGCAGACACCTGCTACCAATTTAGCAGCAGTAGCTCAACACATAGTAATGGTTAAAGCACAATAATGGCCAATAAAATACTGTGTATTGAGCCAATAAGGTACAGTACACTGAATAGATTTGAATTTGAAAAGTAATGATTGGATGCCTACCAGGCTTGAACCATTCTGAATAGCGTTTTGCTTTTCTGGGTAACCTAACAGCACCTTCAAAACAGGTGTTGTATCAGAAAAGGAAACTGAAAATATTTTTGGGATACTGTTCCATTAGTACAAACCCCAGAGTTCACTCTCTAGTATGACAAATATATTGCAACAATTTGTTGACATGCTTCAATGCCTTGGGCTTGATGATGAATTTCATATGCCAATAAGCTAGCCTAGAAGCTCCAATTCCACTGGGCTGCTCCTTAAAATTGTGTTAATCAGTAAGATAGGCAGATTATTAGAGATAGTATTTCTTGAATTTTTTCAAACTGATATAATTTATTCTAGTTTTTCATTCTGAGAAACCTTACTTCTAGTCAACCTTTCCAAGTACTTTAAGATATTTCAATAAAGCTTCTTCATTAGTTCTAAACATAATTCTTGAAAAAGGCAGAACATTTTCAAATATTGTACCTGTCAGTCTTCCAAACAAAACCTTTTTGAGGCTGCAAAATTTTTCTGTTGGTCTGCCGATAATTTTTTTCTTAATTTGCCCATTCAAAAAAAATGTCATTGATAATTTGTTGGTCTTGGGGCCCAAAAAGGCTAGGGAACACAGCTGTTAATCGTCTCCCAAGAACAAACCCCAACACTGATGGAGTTCGTTTCGTTTCAGGATACAGAGTATTGCAAGAATGCGTTTTTGCAGAGGCCATGGAAACTGACAACAAAGGCATAGAGGGCCTCGCACTTTTGCAAGTGCCGCCAACATCCGACAATGCCCGAGGTCTGATCCTACTAGCTCTCTGCGAAGGAAACCACTGCGCGTCTGGCAACTCCGGCGATGAACGCGGCAAAGGAATCATCCTCGCCGCCGTTCACTCAGTCCAACCAGACGGAACGTGTTCCTGGGAAGTGACCAAACGCATTCACATTCCACCCAAAGCAGATTTCGAAGACTACAGCGATCTGGCATTCAATCCGAGTCGCTCACACCTCAGCGTCATCTCGCAACAAGACTCGTCCGTGTTCATTGGCGAGTTCGACGCTCAACTTCTCGAGTTTGTCGGCAATGGTGACGTGTATAACTTTCCGCGAAACCAAAGGTGCGAGGTCGAATTTTGCAATGCTGAAGGGATAGTTTGGTTGGATGACGTGCGATTCGCGGTTGTGTCCGACCGCGCGAAAAAAGACGACCCTCATTTCTGTCTCGCGGGAGAACAATCAATTGCCATTTTTGCTATACGATGACTTTGTCTGCAAGTCAATAAATTGCTATATTTTTTTAGGAAGAAAAAATACCAGCATGCTCAATCTTCACGTGTTCAGAACATATTCCTCTTCCAAAAATGTCTTCCAACATATACGGTACATCACAAGAACAACCGAAGCCTCACCCAACACAACTTCTCACGTGACATTAAATCGCATACCCTCAAGAGTGAAAAAATTCGGATACAGTGCTTGTAGTGGGAATTGCAGCATAAGAAAATAGAAGAGACTAACCTGTTGTGGACGTGTAGTTTCAAACAGCTTCAGGATCTTCTCAAATTCAGTGATGTCCGGACATCACAACACTTCGTTCACATAAAACGTTAAAAACAGGAAGACTGCCTGCAAAACATGTTTTTTTTTTCAAGATTAGAATGACAGACACAATTATGCGCTAAAATTCTCAAAGATCTCCCTGAAACCATGCAGAAAAATTGGACCAAATAGTAAAATACAGTACTGTACAACTGAATCACCGTGCGACAGCCACAAATGAAGCAAACACGACCCACGCAAGCGGTACGATAAAAGCGCGTAAACATAGTAAATTCGAGAAGAGATTCGTATTTAAATAATTACTGCATTATTCTCTTTCAATAACAAGGCAACGAGATACACCACATCTTTTTCGTTTCAAAATTGATTAGATTATACAGGGTTGGCAGGAACTCGGAACTCTTGGTCCTCAGCGCATCGACATGGGAGATCCCATGGAGGAAGGCCCGGATCTGGCTGACATGGAAAGCATGGATTGATGCGGCGAGGTTCCCCCGGAAGTTGAAGACCCAGGAGACACGCCGAAGGGTGACATGGACATTGAACTAGAGCCCTGCGTGGATCCGGGTATCGGAACCCCGCCAGAGGACGTTGGCGGCACGAAGTCATCGTCACTGCGACTGTTCTTCAGCTCTTGAATAGTCATCGCCATGCGGGTCCATTCATCACCACGGGGTACAGCCAGTTGCTGAGTTTTTTTTTATGGCGGGGGAGGGAGGGGAAGAAAACAGAACGAGAACATTTTTACAACTTCCTGCGAGTGTCCTTGGGCTCAACTGCTTTCTGAATGCACGTGAGGATTGGTTCGGAAGTTCGCCTCTCTCAAGATGGAAATGGGCATAAGTTCAGCAGAAACAATATTTTTCGTACCTTCCTGAGCGGAGTTCAGACTTCGTCAGAAGCCGTTCGGAATACAAGGACTATGAGAAAGTTGGAATTCCACGTATTCAATAAGGAAATCACGTTCACCCGCATGTTTCATGGGGAGAAGAACGACTTTGTCTCACATGACGAAATTGTGCGCCCCAAAAACGCTTGGATCTCAACGAGTTTTCGACTACTTCTTTGCTTCAAAAATTACGGAAAGTAAAAAGAAAGGTTTCATTGTTTCCTTTTCTTTCCTTCTCAATTCGTGAAATTTAGAATTAGATCAGAGCACAAGTTCATCAGGATTACTGAACACAGCACTCAACGAACTTGGAATACACTAATTTAGGCACACAAAAAATTGTAATCCTGTATAGTTGTAATAATTTGGTTTAGTGTACCGATTGGAAAGGCTTACTCAATTTGCAATGCAACAATGAGAAATAATGCGTTTAGCATTACGAGAATCCCGCAGAACGAAACACACTCAATCGCACGTTGATTATGGTATGAGGAGCCTCACTAGACATGACTTGATTCAAGTTCTGGTCACTGATGTGACTCAAAAGAACTCTGGGACTACATAGAACTGGATTTTATAGATCTTAGCAACTTCCAAACCATCCCTCATGTATTTCATGAAGAATCTTCATAAATCAAACCTCGGTAAGTCAAATACCTCTCGATGCCAAATACTTTCAAGTCCCTGCCTGAACTTCCTTATAAACAAGGCATTCAAAATCACAGAACTTGACAGTTTTCCTCTTCAAACACTATAAAACTCAAATTTTCTGAGGACCTCTTTGTCAGTATTCTTTTGACGCAGGAAAGATAAAAGCCATGAAAATGCAACTTGATGCACTTTGAAAGGAAGTGAAGGACCAATGGGGCAAATCAACCCTTTGCCTCACGGTTCAGCATCCTTTCAACTCATTCCAGAACCAATTTGAGACCCAAAATATCACCAATTACAATTTCCTGTACCTTTTCGGTACTTTCCTGTTATCTCAGTACCTCATTCCTAGACCACACTACCATCCACACAAATCTTTAGGACAAGTTCATAATCACAATGACCTACCAGAAACTGTGAATTTAATTTTTCCGCATTCTGCTGAAACTGATTTTGGGAGGCGGTTAGGTAATAGGTCTGGTTAAATTGGTCAAAGGGAAGGTACAGAGATAACAGGAAAGCAGGTACTGAGATAACAGGAAAGTACCAATTTTCTTCCTTTCCAACGACAAAAAGGCGAGTTACCTGAACTTAAATCATCTTGCTGGTCCCTTGGAATTTGACTCACGGAGGTTCAATAGAACTGTTCAGTATTTGTGTTTCCACAATCGGAAAAAAGGCAATAAAACTCACGTCTCCAAGATCATAGACCCAGAGCTTGCCAGCCATGTCACCCACAATGACATGCTGACCACTCTGCGTCAAGCTCACGCAATTCAACGCAGCTGATCCACCATCCACATAAACACTAGCTGCTGGAACCTCTGTGTCAAAGTTCAGGTTCCACATATCCAACCGACCGGTTCCGTCCACAGTGGCGAACACAGCCGGGTGCACCGGGCTCCATGACACGTCATACACGTAGTCAGAGCCGCATTCAAAGCTGTAGACCGGTTTCTTGTCCCTCGCACTCCATAGTTTGACAGTCCAGTCAAAGGAGGAGGTGAGGAAGAGGTGGGATAAATCCGGTGCACTGGAAAACAGACTTGAACCTGGATGTGGATCCAGACCCGTAACTGGTCCGTGGTGGCCTTCGTAGGACTCGAGTATACCAGTTTTGCTGCCATGTCGACAGCCAGAGTACAATGTGCCTTCTTCGGATCCCACCAAGAAATAATTATCGTTGGTGAGACCAGCATCCCTACGGGGAAACAAAAGGAATGAAAAGGGTGTGTCTGAAACCGGGTTGGAACACTTGGAGTGAACACTGTTGTAGGTGCAGTTGAACCTGGATAAGCAGAATACCTCCCTACGTGGAATTTTTCGAAGTCCCCTTCTGAATTTCACTAGCAAAAATGTATTAAAAACATCCTCAACTGTAAAGATTCTCCTCTCTAACCTCCATAACTCAAAATTTCTGCTGGCTTTCTGGCTACTACTTCATCAACACATGAAAGTTAAAAGAAATACAAATTTACCTGAAGGTGTTCTGCAACAAAATGGACTAATTGGTGGAAATAAGTTTAGTATCCTGTCAACTGATTTAAAAAGCAATTTAAGGCCCATCACATAATACAATTTTCAGAAATTCTTCTCTTGTTCCCACAATAATAAAAGCTTGATTCCTAAACTTGAAGTTTTTAGGGAATGACACACCTATGTTAGAGGCATGGGAAAATCAGGCAGTGGTAAAATGGAAAGAGAATTAATAAATCTTTGCCCCATATCACTGGACCAGGAAATGCTTTCTTTTCGTTTTTCTTGGGGGGGGGGGGAGGGGCAGGCAATAATTGAACTATTTCTCATTTTTGTCCCACTTCTGTGCTATAATAGGTGAGAGAATGATCATGCTATTTTTTTGAGTCAAGTGGCATTTCATTCTTTGGACCTAATGTCCTCATTAATGTCATCAGGACTGTGAGTTGAACCTATTTTAGAACACCTCATTACACAAGCATTTTCATCTCATACAAGAAGGAATACAACAAAAGATATTTCCTTCAAGGCAAACTTCATTAAATAAAGTTTTACTAAGAAATACAATAGAATCAACTGTTATCTCAACTAGTTGTGCAAATGTTTTTGGTTGCATAAAAAACAAATCAGACACTTGATAAATACAAAATATATATGTATATGAAAATATTCTTTGGTACTTCAAATCACACATGTATTCAAACACACAACAGAGTCAAGACAATATCAGTGAAGAAGTCTTGCTAAATGATTACAAGGATTCTTGAGAACAATTGTGAGAGTCTCTGGCTCAATTCTCTTTAGAAGATTCTGAAGAAATGATATGAAAGCAGAAGTATATATATATATATGTTTCCGGATGTTGAGTTCATGGAATAGTTTCAGAGTTTGGGATGCAAAATACAATTTGAGAGGAAGAATCTGAATTCAGGGAACAGTAATTACCATCTGTTACCGTCAACAGAAAAAGGAACAGTAATGTGCAGTTGCAGGGGAAATGGGTCATGCATATTAATGCCTAATAGCGTAAAAGTTGTCAAACCCAAACAAGGAGAAAATATAGGCATGGGAAAGTCTTGTTCCCATATTCTTCTATTTTGGAGAATAAATTTGTAGAAGAAACTCAAAACAAAGTGTCAAGTAGTTTGTAGGATAACACAACACATGTCCACCAGTAGGGCAAGGGAATTGAGGAGGAACCAATTACCTGTTTTTCCTGACACTGAGAGTGATCACTGTTACTGTTATGTCTATTGCAAATACTGTAGTTTATCATTGACTTTTCCACAATTTCTGAATTACTCAAAAGAGTAAGGATGTGTGGCTCAAAATTCCTTCATTAACAATACTTTGACAATTAAACATATTGGTTAAATATCAGACAACTTAGAACACAAGACTAGAACAAATCACCTAGTATTCTAGTGCTGGGAATTCCTCAATTACTCAAAATACACTTCTCTTCACAGGTTAGACAATGCTACTGATCTGGACACTCAGGTAAGCAACTGATACAGAAATCTGCTGACCTGGGAAGAGACTAGAACAGGTACAACTCAATAGCATGTGATGGGGTCACATTTGACAAGTGGACATATTGATTTATACATTCACAGAAATACAGAAGCTATAATTATCCTGTCCAGGAATAACAACAAAGAGATAATATCAATCACTATGCAGGTCTGGACCAAGAGGGATCCTTGAGAAAGGGGTGAAAACTGAGTCAGTGACTCTACAGTGCAGCAAAGAGTGGAGCAGGATAAATGAATCAAATTGCTCTGGATTCAATTAATATTTTTGCACACCTGTCATTCACTCTTGGAAATAAGACCCTTCTTTATAGGGAAACATTTCCCCTTCTAGAAAAGGGGAAATGAATGGACTGGAAGTTGGTTGATTTTGCTATTGATCCAAGAGTGTACAAGGTGTGCTCCCTTATGAGTGAGGTGAAACAGAGGGTTATCCTTTTGAGGACTCTTTAAAAATGCTCTGTTCAGGGTATAACTGCTTTCCTCATTTAAGGAAGAGACACAAGATAAAGCAAAAATACAACAAAAAATTCCAAGGGCAGAAATGAATAGGGAAACAACAAATGATTCTTTCCTGGGATAACACTCCGTTATGCAGCTCTTAAATTACAGAACTTGATACAGTACCATCTCTGATTTCCTTCACATCATCCAGATCACTTTTGAGAAAAAAAAAGCACAAAACTTGAAACCCTCATTTTCTACAAACATTGCAAGATTCTGACACAGTATTTCTGCTGCTTTAAAATATAAAAATGAAATTCTTAAATTATTAATCCCCCTCGCTGGAGACCCTAACTTCTGATTGGGTCTCACCATTTCTCTTGACTAATCCAAGAACTTTGTTTTACTTTTTGTTTACAAGATATGTATTATCCGTCCAGGTTCCCAGCATCAATTGCATTTCCCTTCGGACACAGTTACACTTTTTTTTTGGCTTTGCTGAATGTTCACACTTATAAGACTTCTCGAACAATTAGCTCGCGGGTAAACCTAATGAAATTATATATACTGTGATACTATACTTTTAATTTGCTTGTACAGTACATTGGGCGGAGCTATCCTAGTTGGGGGGACCCAAGCGCAAAACTACGTCTATATAGATGTCGATAAGAACGGCACACTGAACGTACTTGGTGGACACACTCCAATCGTTCAACAACCCTGTTCTGTTTATCCTGTGGTACGCTATCGTCAGCCTTACCATCAGTCTGTTTTATTCTCGATTCAAATTCATTACTGACTCTAAACGAATTTCAATGTGAATTGACACTTGCACTGTTTCATTGGTTCTGCTGAGACTGAATTTGGGGGACGGTTAGGTAAAGTTAGGTTAGGTCAGGTTATGTTAGTTAAAATATGTATTGATGTTAATTTAAATAATTTGTAATGAACATATAAAATCCATAGTTGAAATATTTTTAACTAACATATCCTGACCTAACCTAACTGCCCCCCAAAGTCAGTTTTTGCAGAAAACTCGAGTCAGGTTGTGTTACCTAAAATATTTTCAATGAACCCTTTTTAAAATGTATGGCTGAAATATTTTTTGCTTACATAACCTGACCTAACCTAACTGCCTCCCAAATTCAGTCTCAGCAGAATCAGAAATAACAGTGCCAGTGTCAATTCACATCTTAATTCAAATGCACAGTTGGATTTGTACCTGCATAGAGAATAAAATCGGACCGGTGGTAAGGCTGACGATAGCATACCTCACCCGCAGCACAGCAGAGCTGTTGGAGAATTGGAGTGTACAAGGGCTAGGCGCGCGTGAAAGGGAGTAAGCACTGTTTATTGTAGATGGAGCTAGTAGTCTGGGTCCCCCCAACTAGGATAGCTCCCATTGGGCTAAATGCTTTCAACAGTGAATAACAAGAGAAACTTTCTTAAGCAGATGAAATGGGTCTTCATCAAGTCTCAAACCAGGAACAGTCAGTTTTTTTCGAGAACAACTTCGGTAAAATATTGAGAACAGCATTATCATCGAACAAATTCAACTTTGCACCTGAATTATAAATGTCTTTGTGCATCCTTTTGCAAGTGATGGATGGTTCTGCTGGGAGAAGGCATTCCTTGAAATGAACCTTAATCACAGATGGGAGACTGTCATTTCCAAAGAACAAGGACAAAAAAGGTTTGGAAATGCGGCCAAGGACACACTCACCATCATACAAGGAAGAGAACTGATTCGAGCAGAAATCAAATCCTGGGAAGATTTTTCCACCCCCTTTTAATCACATCCAGAAGGGTTTATCAACAGCACATTGCATTTAAGTTTGTTAAAGTATTGATCTGCAACCCCTTGTCCGCGGACCGGCGCTGATTCGCAGTTCTTCGCTTGTGCGCAAGACATTTTCATCCACATAACTATTGTAATTACAATATCTACATCCGATCATCTTCATCTGAAATTCTGGAAAGACAATTGCAGTTGAAATTATCTCGGGAAAAGTGAAAAGTTGGCTTTTCTCGTACTAACACTGTTGACAAATGTTCACCTGCTAAAATAAATTATTTTGAGTATTCATTCCGTAAAACTTTTCTCTAAGACCAATTTTCCAATTTTTGAAGGTACTTTATTCCTATATAGCTGCTAAATTAGTTCTTGACTTGTTTTGCAATACAATTTGTGTTCGAAGGACTTCATGAAAAAAATTTGAAAATTTACTGGTGGTCTGCAAAAAAATGTTTAACCCTTGCCGATCCAAAACCACTTTTTTACAACTTTGCCAGCTGCAAAAAATTGTATGAAACTTCGCCTTTATAGGAATTTGTTGGTACACAGAAACTTGATGGAAATTTACAAGTCCACAGAAAAATGTATTCGCGTTTATGGAAATTCACCAGTCTAAAGAAAATCGTATAGAATTTTGCGGGTCCACACAATTTTGTGGACGCAAAAAAGTTCAAGAAAATTCGCCAATCCACAGGCGCAAAGAGATAGGGAAACACTGCGTCGAACTTCACGATTTCACAGGAACCACAGGCCCATCACAGAGGAGGAAGACACGGCAAGGATCAACCAGCGTAACTGTCTCTACCAGGGGGAAATGTCGAGAAGCCACATCACATAGTATAGTACAGTATAGCACAACCCGCCAACGGCTGACGGAGAGCAGTGTGTGGAAATGGCTGAGGAGGGGGAAGACCACGTCAACTCAACATCACCAACGAATCTCTCATCCAATTGACAAGACTTCAAACTTCGCACCCTCTTTTCTCTTTTACAATGATGAAAAAAAAAATCACCAGAGTGATTCTCTTTCAACCGATGACATTAGAAGGGTCCTAGGAGCAACTATTGTACAGTATTCCGATATTGGGTAGCAGTTAAATTTCTAAGTTTCTACTCCCTCACTTCCAAGAAACATGGGAGAAATTTTCATCGTAAAAAAAAAAGCGAGTGGCTTCATTCCCTGCACTGTGACAATCTTATGTGACAAGATAATTGAAATCAGAGCTTACATAGAGTTGAATGTAAGACTTACTCCGCGCCATTTTCTTTCAAGCTCATCGCACAATGAAAGTTCCCCCACTTCATCACGGTTTCAATTTCAAGGACAGCAAATAAACAATGCTAGGGAACTCTACTGCGTAGTAGTATGACACGTCTTCGACGAAATCTACGTTGAAAGTAAAGTTAGTACTGTATTCGACACAATTTCAAAATGTTCCTAGTGTATAATGGCTCACGCAACGCTAGTTATTTATTTTGTCACTGTGAAAAAAATAACCGACCATACACACTAGTCAGGTTGGTATACAATAAGAGTTCCGCGAATTTAAAATAAGCCAATATTTAGTAGAAAGGCAATTTTATATTTCTGTATAAATAGGTGGACTTGCTCTACACAGATTTTCTTCTTACAATTAATTTTAGTTCCGATCAAAAAAGGGTTCTCTCTCTATGCTTGAGGGTTCACTGCAACAAATTTCTCTCTACAAAACTTTTTTTTTCTGGTTACTGGAATTTCGTTGTCCAGTCCACCTGCACCTGTATCACTGCTTCACCCATGGAACTTTCTTTTTACTTCCCAAACCAAAGCAACAAGACTTCACTTCAGCCCATGAAACCGGGGATTGAATGAGGGAAGATAGCATCAATAACCCATTCCAACCCAGGGTTTCTTGGTGAATGACAAAAACCCTTCCCAATCCAACAAGAGATTCAATTCGAAACACAGGATGAATCCTTGGAAAGAGAAAGTCATCTATAAAATGCCGCCCTTGCTTTTTGTCTTCTAATTTCGGCGCCAGAGTCAGTCATATTCATTTTCTCCGCCGGCGCCGCGTTTATGACCCCCAGACGGGCATAGAAAAAGTGAGGCATCCGTTCCTTGGAAAAGCCAACGGATTTTTCTGGGAAAAATGGAATGAACCAAGCTTCCTGGAAGAACAGGAAACCATACCTGGGAGTAAATCAACTCCGAAAATCAGGCACACAAAAATCCCTCCCTGAAAAATTAGATTAAGCAACCCTTCTTCTTCCATTTTAAACCTCCCTGATTCGGCTGAGAATTTCATGCTTCACATTCATTCACCCAAAAGATCAACACCCCTGAAGGAATACGACATCTCCAATCACGAGCTTTTTCAAGCAAACCCGCATTGATGAAGGGAAAAATTGAATCTGCATGCGTACACCACATGGTTTTGACTTGCTTGAACTTCTCCCAAAATTTCTGGCAGAACTAGGTTTTTGTGCAAAAAAAATTTTGTTATCCCTATGTTGACTAGGAATAATGACTAAAGAGGGGGTTGTTGAAACAGTTTATTCACTCCACTATGTATAAGCATACACAACACTATCAGTATAACACACAAAATGAACAATTGTATATGATACTACTGTATATATATTTTGGACACACTTTCTAGCTGGAGTTCCAAGTGAGAACTTTAGGAGAAAAAGTTGAGGCAAACACTTGAGAGTTGTTGAATCTACAGAGAATATCAAGAAATAGTATATGCCTGTAATTTACTGTCTCTGACAAGTTTTTGTTTCTATCAAGTCCTATCCTGGAGCAATCTACAACAAACTCTATGCTGGAGCAAACCCTGGCACTGTTCCAAGGTTCTGGGGCACTTCCTTTTAAAAACCTGAACAGAGCCAGTGGGTACAGGGATGATTCCATAACCTGCCTGTTGGTGTACCAAATCTGGTGGCTACTAAATCCCCCTAATCCCCAGGCCCCTATTCATCAAATTGTCCCTGCTGCTTGACCCTTTACAATCATTGTCCAAACAACAGTGGATATATGGAAAAAACATAAAATTGAAATGACTAAAATGTTTTTCAATTTTTTGTTGTCCTTAATCAGTTACTGAGGAAATATATTCATCAGTTACTGAAAAGAACTGAGTCACGTGTGTGGCTTTCAATCCCTTTTTATCCAACACACAACACACAAGGTATCTTCAACAAAAATGCAACACTCAAATATACAAGACTAAATTTTACAAGTACAAAGTACAAGACTAGAGAAGTATATATTTTCAGAGTGCTGGGAACTCAGGTTTTGTCACAAGTGTTCCTCCAGGTTAAACCAGCTAGGAAACACAGGGAGAAATTCTTTTATCTTTAACTTTACTAGGTCAACACTGTTCAAGGCTCGGACAACAAATTCCCAGATCCTAAGAGAGGATCCTCTTTATATAGCTCAGGTGCATATACGCAGGGAGAGCAGGGGAAATACCATTGCAGCCAGTTTGAACTTGCATGGCAAGAAGATCATTAAAACTAGGTCAGGTCACCACTTGCAGGGAATACATTCCAAACAGGAAAAGTGGAAGAGATTCCATTACCTTTTGTTTGGACAGGGAGTGAACCAGAACCACAAGGTAATTTAGGACTCTTGTGAAACAACCTGACATTCTCTCAACAAGGGAGGAAATGGGCAACCTCATTAAATACAACTGACACTTGTTTCTGAGTTGACACATTCCTCAAAGACAAATGATCTTTACAGGGTTTTCACTCTTTTGGGAATGAGTGGACCCTGGTTTGCTAATGGAAGATGGTTGATCCTTTCCATTGACCTGAGAGAGTTCACAGAGTGTGATCTCATTGAGTGAGGCTAAACTGGGGTTTACCCTTTATACAATAACACTTTTTTATAAATTTTAATTGAATAAATTTTGAATTCTGTCAAGAAAGCTGAACAAATTGATACCAAACAAGTATTGTTTGGTATTATTTTTTGGTATTTTACTTGTCATTCACAGTGTTTGATTTGCAGAAATAAGTATTGAATTCCTATAATGTACCATACTGTCTCATGGCCCTTACAAGAATGAGTAGAAAATTAGGTTTTGAAGTAAATTTGAGTATTGAATACATCAACTCAGAATATCATCATTAAACTAACCTAAATTAACCAAACCCGAAATAACCAACTTTGAAGAACTTCTCAACATCCTGGAACAATTGAATTTTTTTAATGCAATTTAAGGAATATTGCTTGGGAGGTGGATGTTCCCCAAAAAGCAAAGAAAATTAAGAAATTTGGGACCTGGAGAATGTGTGGGGTTAACAGGAACAAGTTTCTGCTGTTGGATAGTGTTGTGAAGTCTGGACAAAATGAGTGTAAGAACACATTAATAAAAGGATTTAATGAGAAATGAAATCATGAAAACTATTACCCAGAAAAATAAAGCCTTGAAGAGAGGAGCCAAAAATTGGTGGTTTATTGGGGTAAAAACAGTTCAAAGATTCTGTTTGTTTGGCAAAAAGAATTGGCAGTCAGTGGATGGCAAATAAACTGGGTTTTCCCATCCCAAATTTTCAAAATTTCAAGCATGTTTTACATTGTTGAAGAAGTCTAAATGCAGTTCAATAGTGATACTGAATTTCATTTTTTTAAATTTCAATTTGAATGTCCAATGGGAATTCCATAAAAATTGCTTAAAAGATTTCCACAGAATGTCCACTCAACTGTCATGGAAGAATAAATGTACAGATCGTCAGACCCCCCAAGATTTTATGTCAAATGCACACTTTTATCAGGGACTGACCAAAAAAATTGCAAGAAATGTTCACGCAATTCACTTGTTGGAGAAGGAAGGGGGGTTTCTTGACAGAAAAAAATTGCAGACAATTTTCACGCACTTGTTTGAGGAGGAGGGGGGGTTTCTGCTATTTCTGCACACTAGAAACTCATTTGGCTGGAAGAGTACATTTAAAAGGAAAAATATGGCAAACGCACGCTTTTATGAGGGACTGACCACAAAAAAAATTGCAGAAAATGTTCACCCACTTGTTGGAGAATGGGGGGGGGGGGGCTTGGGCTGTTATTTCTGCACACATTTAGGCTAGAGGAACACATTGGAGGAAACTGTGCATTCATTCCACAATGCTGCGGTGCATCCATGAAAAAAAAATCAAGGAAAATCCAGTTCTGAAAAATTTGAACTGAGTTTTCCTTGAATATTATTTTTGCCATTGATGCCTAGCTTCCTGCTTTAGTAGGGGATTTAGTAGCCAGGAGTTGGGGTAACCCACGTCCTGGCGTACCCCACCTCCTGGCTACTAAATCCCCCAGTCCCTATTCATGCCATTGTCCCCACTTTTGGTGGGTCACTTCGTAGTCAACTGCATTAATTTTGAATTATGTTCAAGAAACTGAACAAATTGCTACCAAACAATCATGCATCCCTTCAAGTCAAAGAAATTGTCCCTTGCAGAAAATCCAGTTCTGGCTTCTGCATGCACTTGATACCAAACTCCATCCGAAACAATCCTGGATAGAAACTGGATTTACCTTGAATATTATTTTTGCCATTGATGCCAAGCTTCATGCTCAGAAGTAAAATCCAGTTCCAATTTTTCAGAACTGGATTTTCCTTGAATTTTTTTCATGGATGCACTGCAGCATCACCGCAGCATTGTGGAATGAATGCACAGTGGAATGAATGCACAGTTTCCTCCTATGTGTTCCTCTAGCGGCCTACATGTGTGCAGAAATAGCAGCCCAAGCCCCCAAAAAATTTCCTGCAAATTTTTTGTGGTCACTCCCTCATAAAAGTGTGCATTTGGCATATTTTTCCTTTCAAATGTACTCTTCCAGCCAAATGAGTTTTTAGTGTGCAGAAATAGCAGACCCCCCCCCCCCCTCTTCTTGAACAAGTGTGTGAAAAACCAAAAAACAAATAAAAATACCAAAAAACAATACCAAACAATAATTGTTTGGTATCAATTTGTTCAGTTTTCTCAACATAATTCAAAATATATTCAATTAAAAATCATAAAAAAAGATTGAAAAACATTTGAGTCATTTCAATTTTCTTTGTTTCTATCCATATATCCACTGTTGTTTGATCAATGGTTGTAAAGGGTCAAACAGCAGGGACAAGGTCATGAATAGGGGCTGGGGGATTAGGGGATTTAGTAGCCACCACATGGGTTATGCCACAAGGCCGGTTACGCAATCATCCATGTACCATGCCAGCCAGTGAAACAATCATGCAAGAAAGATTGGGATTGGATCATGTTCTTAATCTAGATTAGATGTGCAACATGCACAACACTATTTCATCACCACACACAGGATTAATGAACAAATACAGGAGATTTTGTGGTGATGGGTTTCTTGGCTTTAATCTACTTGGGCACATAATGCTTACAGCCAGAAAGAGGGGTGACTGTCCAGAGGAATTCCTCAATCTAGGAAATCCCATAGATGCAGGAAAAACTCATTACTTCTGTAACAAGAGATAAAAGAGCTTTCCAGTAGAAGTGTAGATTACTGAAGATTGTCATCTGAAGAAATCCAGATGATTAAGCTTTTTTAATCTATGCCGGGGGAAAAATACTGATGATCACTATCATTCATTAGAGTGACTTAGCAGTACACTCCTTGAGTTCAGTTATTATATTTAGGATACCATGTTCTTTAAGCCTGTAAAAAAGAAAGAAAAAAACAATCATTGTACTGCATTGGTGATTTAATCACTTTGAAGTTTTTGCTGGCTGTATTGTAATTTTAGTCCCTCCAACTTCAAAAATTGCTTGATTGCCATAATATACTGTAGTTGTTATCCTTTTTTGATAACGTTGACCTCATTTCCTTGAAACTTTCAAGTTCTAGTGTCTCCTTTAGTGAGCACTGTGAATAGGAATATGAATTGTAAGTATTTTCCCTTCAGGCAAAGAAAACCTTGCACTTTTGTACATAGCCACAATTACACCTGACTCAGAGACAGAGCAATTACACAGAAAGTTGCCACACAGGAGTCTCATACATAAAGTCACTGAACTAATGAGGTAGGATTCAGCAGGGGTTTATATACTCCAAGATGTTCAAGAGAACAAAGGATGCAGGACAAACCAGCTGATTTTCATCTTCTATATATTGTATCATAGAAAATTAATGCAAAATCACTGATGTCTATACCTTTGTGAATAGAAGGAGGTACAAGGAATGTGAAGGATACACGCATCTTTGCAGGTACTGACTTGCATGGGATAAAACTTTGAGGAATTACTTTTAGAGCAAGGATGCATGTATCTGAAGGTGCTGCATCCCATTGAGAGGAGGAAGGTCAACCTTGAGGAGCTGGCTGGTTCTTAATTCATTAACCTTTCCCTTGCTTTGTCCTATTTTCTCTTCTTCATGCCTTCTCTCATCAGCAGAGCCTGCAAGGGTTTGGCATGAAGTTTGGAATGGTTTGAACAGAAAGGTTTGATAATTTCCAATAATAAAAATAAATATGAATGATTCTAAAATTTGAGTATCTCCCATATTTTGAGGATACAAATGAGCAACATGGAAAGTCTGATGAACAGAAAAATAGTCTTCACTGTACAGAAGTACAACCCACACATACAAAACAGATATTCTGCAGGGAGACATCAGGACAAGATTGCCCTCCTGCCTTGTTTTGCACCAGTTTTATATACTCCAAAGCAACAGGGATTCCCACAGAGATGAGTAGAAACATAAGAGGGAAACAGGATGTACCATGAGCAAGAATTACTGTACAGTACTGCAATACTGTATATCCAAGGAATTTGCAAGAATAAACTGGCTCTGGGATATGGGAAAGGGATATGTGTTGAAGCTGTACCTTAAAATATCCTCTGAGACTGTAGAATTTGTATTTGAAATTGTTTGATATGCACGCAGTTATTTTCCAGGGCCTACCTAAAACCCCATTTTTGAAGCTAGAAATTGAAATTTTGCGTTTTGGGCAAATTCTGATGTTACTGAGCAGGGCCAGTTCTGGGACACCCAATATGCCATGGGGCCTGTTCCGGGACACCCATTCTGTAATGAAGCCCTTCCTGGGACACCTATTATGGAACGGGGGGTCATGGTACATTCAGTGGCAGAACAGCTGTCACAGACCAAGAGACCAAAATTCGAATTTTTCTGAACGAAGTTTCCTTCAAATATTAGGTTTTTGACTGCCTTAATTTTCTATCTCTAAATTACTGTGCATTGGTCATTTGCTAGTATTTGAAGGGTCCTTTGGCACAACTTTGGTGCCAACCCTCTGTTGGGGTATTTCATTCTGAATGTTGTGTTAAGGAGGGATGTTATCCCTGAATTGTTCTGAGGGAAAATCTCCACCACTGTTCTGTTTTGTTTAATTTGTGGTGAATGGGGAATTTCCTACTCCAAGGCATTTCTGTTTTGTTGGTTAGTAACAGCCAGGCCAAGTTGGCAAGGCTGGCACGTTTAGGTCAACCTTTTCAGTTGACTTCCACCCCTGTGGGATTCTGAGAAGGGAGAGGTTCCCAGGCAGCAGCTGCCACTTGAGCTTTCTCACCCTTGTTTTGGAAGCTGTTTTCCCCCTTTTGTTTTTAAAGCTGTCAAGGGAATTTATGACTGTTGGAGAAAACTCCCACCCCCCTCTCTTCTTTACTCAGGATTTCCTCCTGGTTTAGAACCAGTCATCTCTGAGCTCTGTTTGGGAAGGGTGGTTCTGAGTTGCTCCCCAATTGTGGGGAATGTATTCTGATNTGGGGAAGGGTGGTTCTGAGTTGCTCCCCAATTGTGGGGAATGTATTCTGATGTATATTTTGTACTGTCTTGTTTCACTTTTGACCATGTACTTGTCTTTGTGTTGCAGGCAAACCATATTCACATTTACATTAATTTGTTTGCACACGCGCTTGTCTTGCAAGCACTCAAGCTTATTTTCTGTCAGGACTGTGAATAAAAGTGTGGATAACAGATTCAAGGAAGTTTGTTGCATTCTCAATACTAGTTAGTCTTTGGCAGAATGTGAGCAGCAACTTTGTGCAGGTCTTGCCTTACTGACAACCTCATAACTGATGTCCCTGGTCCTCTGGTCTGAACAAATACTTGACCTGACAACTTCCACCATCATCCAATCAACTCTGGTGCATACTCAGTGACCTAGCTGAGGACACCCAACCATTAAATTTGGAGTCATTCGACCATTAGCTTACAATTGTGTTTAGCCTCTCATTCTAGGCACAACAGATAACCAATCAAGATGCAGAACAAAAGACACATCAATGTAATAATGTACACTTCAATAATAAGATGCAAGAACAGCCAAGGGTTGCTGCAAGAGATAATACTGTTTGCTGTAATACTAATACAATGGGCCTATCAATGCAGAAAATTTGATTTGAAAACACTTCAAACTCAAAAAAAGCTTCTGAAGAATTTGAGGCAATAACTAGCATATTGATAGTATATTACTGTATATGCGATTCCCAGAGAAAATAACTGACCCTAAAATTCATTGATTTCATTCGAATCTTATAATTCCACTACAGAGAAATCACCAATAATTTTATGTATATTTATCCCTTAACCATAGAAAAACCATTATTCGCTTGATTTAAGGGAAAATCTTTGTCTTCAACATTCGTCAGCGTGATGCATGGATCATTGGTTTCTAAGATTAATAAAAACTTAGTTATAGTCTATAAAAATAATTTAATGCTCAAGAACTCATCATGATATGGTGCATTTTTTTTCAAGACTGAATACCATCAAAATTGTTGACTGCTGGAGTGCTGGGTATATTTCTTCGAAGTTATTGCAACGCGACGTCTTTCAACAAAAAAATGTTCCCGTATCGGTCCATGAAGGATTACTGACCTACTTCGAAAGTCCGTATTAGATTTTCCAGCCCTTCTTTCTCGATTGAAGTATTGACAACTAAAATTGCGTCTTACAGTCAATGGACTTCTGTATCTCTTGTATTACATATCGAACGCCTCATACGAGTTGTATTTCATACAAGACATGTGTGACTGAAGGGTAAAGTGTAATACTGTACAAAAAAAAAAGCTAACGTATCTTTTCTCAGATAATTTCAGCTGCCATTTCTTCCAAAATTTTGGATAATTAAGTAATACAGGCATACCCTCTATAAATGTAGAAATTTTTCCGCGGACCGGCAAAAACTTCCACGGACCGGAGCCGGTCCGTGGACCACAGGTAGGGGAACACTGAACTAGAATATGTGTGTCCTTCTCGATCTCTGTTTTCAAATCTGTTCCATGTTATGTTCAGAAATCCTTTCTTTTGAAGCCTCAAATTTTTCTATGTTGTGCTTTCAATTTTGCGTGCTCTACCTGGAATAAAACGTCATTCCTTTCCAAAAAAAAACGTATTATTTATCATAAAATCATATGAGGCATTTTGATCCAAAATAGCATTAAAACCATGTTCTCCTTTTGAAAAATTGGGTCAAATACCCGTTTACTAACATGTGCCACTGCTGAAGGCAATAAAATGCTGGTCTTTGTCACCCAAAAATCGACGAAATTGCAAATGTGCTGGGATTGATGGAGATAAGAATTTATGGGAACTAATTGTCGACCTCCATGATTCGTCGTAAGTTTGTGGTTCAACCTCATCGTCGTGTTTTGCATTCAACGAACATGAGCAGTATTGCCACTGTCCGAAATGATTCTGTTAGGCACTTCAAAAAGGTTAAGCATGTTTTTAATTCATCAGGACTACTAGCATTGTAGTTCATTTTCCTTCATTAGAAAGAGTACTCCACGCGTTGATCAATCAGGAGCAAACAAACATTTCACACCTTCTTTGTACACTTAACACGTAGGCAACCAAAGGCGAAGCGTGATTTATTTCATAAACATTTGTTCGTATTTGTGAGCATTTTTCGTTTGAATTGCGTGAACAAGATAACATGTGCTATGGTCATCAGTGTGCATGTTTAAAAAAAAAATACTGTAATATATAATTCCAAGGAATAAATCTCTTGACCAGCGGTGCTGAATAACTTGGATGAAAATTCGCTATCGCCTTTATACAGGGAGTCGCATCAGAATACGTCGTAATTAAATATCGACCGTCATCCGGTAATTTTCATCTCTGGTGAATACCATAACAGTGTTTTTGAACCAATAAAGAGAGCTGTTGCCACGAAGACTTTTCCAAATTCCAGGCTGTGGGTAAAACCCGTGTCCTTCCAGAATTGCGATGATGATGTCATTGTTCCGATTGTTCACGTGTGAACGTCCTCCTTGGCCCTCGATGGCCCATGACAGAACTATTCCTTCTTCTGCGTGTCTAACGAGGTTGGAGATGTAATTCGCCTGATACTTTCTAGGAATATGCTCGCCAACTTCTAAACTCAAGACCCAGTTGAATGTTCGTCCAATGTATCCCGGCTTACTGAGATCCATGTGTTTTACTAAGCCAGCTGTCAAATTCTGGATTCCTGGGGTTCCATCATAACCAGTCCAGGATTGCAGAACAGGATCTGTTGAATTCCACCAATCTTTCAAGCCCTTAAGGTGCCTGTAGAAAACATTTCCTAATGAATTGACGAGCATTTTTGATTGGCTACTTCAAATCTCCATTGGATCACAAGAAATTGGCAAAGCTAGGCAGTTTTATTTGTAGCCCAAAGAATATTTATTTACAAACTCTTATTTTGATCATACATGGCCCATATGGGCCATGTATGATCAAAAGATGTATGGGAAAGGCAGAAGGTAAATAAAGGTGAACTCCCTCTAAGTCTACAACAAAATGTAAAGCACCAGATGAAATTTTTTAAAGAGAGAATAAGGGAACCTATAAAACATAGGAATAGAAGGTGGAAAGGATTCTATCACTGCAAATGAGGGAAGACACTATAATTGCATTGAACAAAATTATTATATGTAGTGACAATTCTTGTGGACAAGATCATTGCAGAGAGAATTCTGCTGGAGTACCCTCTTGCTCATATTAAAAAAGGAACAATAGAAAGAAAATGCTATATGAAACGATGCCTCCGAAGTTACCCTAATGACTAACCTTGTAAAAAAATCCCTTTCTGAATTTGGAAATGTGTGATTCCTGAGTCGTAGGAAGCAAATCCCATAGAGACCAATCCCACATCCAAGGTCCAATACTGATTTTTTCTTGAACAGCATTTCCTCCAGAGCCTTGCATAGATATGGATCCACAACGTGAGCTCCTTGCAAGTTTGCTGAATTCAAAATCCAGCTGCCCACTTTCAGCTCACTTTGTCCTTGAAAAATTTTAAAATTCGTATTTCAATACCATGGAACATACACAATAAAGTGATCTGCAATGCATGCTGCAGAAATATCTCAGCACATAAGTCAAAAAAACAAAAATGACGTTGCCTGTTATTGCAGGAAAACAACAACTGAGGTTTTTGTTCAGAATTTTCACCACAAAATCAATAGAAAATTTATTTTGAACCCAGTTTTGGGTTGAAATTATTGCATGCCTCCATGCCAAATCTTTATACACTGAACTTGGAAGTGCCCATCAATATGTTCATACTTTATAAACCTTATTCACCACTTTGACGAGCTTTAGAGAGGTAATAGAAATAAATACATGAAACTGTGGTGATCAGCATTTAACTTTTTTTAAGCTGTTAAAATTGTTATGAGTATTTCAGGGGGAAGGTCCATCAAATTCTTATATTATTTTTAAAATCTCTTGACTGTGTATTTAATTTGAAAATCAAAACACTGATTCAAGGTCAATAATTTTCTCTATCATCCTATGTTGTTCAGAATTGATAAATCATATGAGATCAACTTTTGAAAACCTCACTTGAACAGCCATTTTCCCGCGAGTATACTGTGGGTATAACTGGTGTGGAAAATTTTCGTGTAGAACAAATAACTTTTGTTCTCATCAGCAGCAGTGACACCTTGTTTATACAGCAAAATTTGCTGGTTAACTAACCTTTTAGCTGACAAACCTTTTAGCTGACAAACCTTTTAGCTGACAAAACCAAATCAGTTTTGAAACTGATTTGGTTTTGAAACGTTGGGTTAACTGATGAATAATCCTGCATATATGCTTGCTTTATGTATAATGATTTTGATTTTCAAATTCCAGATAATATATTCTGATAGGGATTCTTCATAGCAGTTCTTTCAGTAGTGGTATGATTGATATTTCAATACAGCATTCACAAATGTATATCTTATTGTTTCATATCTTATAAACTATATCTTGTTTCATGAATTAAAAACATTAGCCCAACCCACTTGAAGGAAGAAATACAGAGGTTTAATCCAGTCTCCCCATTGTGTAATAGTTCATGGTTATGATACTCATGGAGCAACATCAAAAATTGTCTGCAGGACTTACATTGGAATTTCTCTAAATGATAAGTTAGGTTAGCAGTTTTTCATATGTACTTCTCAAGTTTTATAAGTTGAAATTTATGCATGATACCAATTAATTATTGTCATGGTATCCAGCATGTTTGCTGGAAGCCCAGACAGAATTACATATCTATTTGATTTTCAGCTCAGCACCAAAAGCTTTCCAAGTAAAGCAATTCCAAATGATTTCATTGCTTTCGATTTATGTGCTTTTCTGCATTACAATTCCATACAGAGAATATTGACAATTTAGTTTCAATAATGTTATCCAGGAAATACTTGAGTTTGTTTCCAAGACCTCTTTTTAAATTGCACCTTACTTTGAGGAAGCAAACAAGGTTTTCTCCTTACAGCTGTTCCCCTTGTTTTGAAATCTCTCTTCACACGTCACCCCAGGTTAAACAGCGTATGCGCTTTTGTCCTCTTTAACTAATAAAACTCCCCCTCACTCTTGACAGTGACAAATGTTATCCGCGCACATATCCACACNGAATGATGATTTTGTTGGGAGAAATCATTGGCGGTTTATAGAGGGAAAAATGAAGGGCTCTAGGCAATTTGTGACACAAAAAACCTTGGCGGATGGCGGATGGCGGTCTATCGAGGTTTCCCCATCCGTTTAGTATTAGGCTAATTTGTTTCAGATGAAATTTTGGCGTTAAGTGAGGGTGGCGGTTTATCGGGGGGCGGTTTAACGGGGTTTAACTGTATATATTGTTGTGTATCATGTTCTCGGATATTTCACTTCATGAGGTCCTCGTCCTCATGAATATTATGCAGAATACTTTGTTGTTGATCTGCATTCCTTGTTGTTGACCTGTATACCTGAAAAGCATATATATTGCCAAGGAACGCTATTTTCCAATCCTGTGTCAACTGCAGTTACTTCTCAGAGAACCTTGTGTACGTTTAACAAAATTCTCTTAAGACTTGTCTGTTTTTGTTATATTTGTCTTGAACAAATATGGTTGTGAATAAAATATATCTTATATATATATTTATGATCTGGAATTGTTTATTGAGTATCAGACAATAAACTTGGCGCAGTCGGTAGTTTTAACTTTTGTTATTTGACTACTGAGTACAATAATTTTTGTTTTTCTGGGGGTGAATTCCTCAGTTGTGTAAAAATCAGTTTTAAAAAATTGTTTAGAAATAATAAAGAACGCTCAAAATTGTGTGGAAAAATCCACAAATTTGTACATATATCTTTGAAGTGTATTCTGAAGTGACATTGAATTGAAACAATTGACTTAGTGAGAATTCCGAAAATCCCGAGAGCAAGTATGCCGTGTCATCTCCTCTCCGCAAAAGAAAAATAATTCCAAAAGAACAAGAAGCCACACACCGTCGTCCACCCAACAAAGCGCAAGTACCACTGTAAAAAAGTGATACACCAAAGTGAGTCAAACAAACTATCTTTGATTGATTCCTTTTGGCGCGTTCCTGCCCCAAAAAAGATCCCTCAGACGCTTGCCCATGTCAGAAAGTGCCATTAAGCGCTAGAGGTTGTAGCTAAAGAGCAGTAAAAAGTCTTAACAATAATAACTCGAGTACAGTGGGCCCCCGACTTACGACGGGCCCATGTTACGTCCGTTTCATCTTACGACGCTTTTCTTAAATTAAAAAAACCCCCGACTTACGTCGGGGTTTCATGTTACGACTATAAAAGCCCTTTGACAACTTGTCTGTTTTTGTTATATTTGTCTTGAACAAATTCAGTTGAGTATAAAATATATCTTTTATATATATTTTGATCTGGAATTGTTTATTTGATATCAGACAACAAACTTGGTGCAGTTGGTAGTTTTAACTTTTGTTATTTGACTACCGCATAAAACAATTTTTGTTTTTCTGGGGGTGAATTCCTCAGTTGTGTAAAAACTAGCTTTAAAAAATTGTTTTAAAAAAGAACTCTCAAAATTGTGTGCAAAAACCCACAAATCAGTACATATATCTTTGAAGTGTATTCTGAAGTGAAATTGAATTGAAACAATTGACTTAGTGAGAATTCCAAAAATCCTGAGAGCAAGTACGCCGTGTTGTCTCCTCTCTGCAAAAAGAAAAATAATTCAAAAAAAAACAAAAGAACAAGAAGCCACACACTGTCGTCCACCCAACAAAGCGCAAGTACCACTATAAAAAAGTGCTACACCAAAGTGAGTCAAACAAACTATCTTTGATTGATTCCTTTCAGCGCGTTCCCACCCCAAAAAGATAAAAAGATCCCTCAGACACTTGCCCATGTCAGAAAGTGCCATAAAGCGCTGGAGGTCGTAGCTAAAGAACAGAAAAAAGTCTTAACAATAATAACTCGAGTATATAGGCTAGCACTCAACTCCTTGCCAAGTCAAGAGAAGTGAGCCACCAAAACTCGAAGACTGAAAAACAGCAAGGACCTGACGAAACTTCCCAAAGAGGATACCAGCATTTTTGCTTGGAGTAAAAATCCCCCTCTAAGTGTCAAGTTACATTAAAATTGTAACCTTAGAGACAAGACCCGGACAAAAAATGGTTGTGAGCCAAGAAAAAATAGATTGAAAACTTTTATTTGGAATTTCAGAAGATAAACTAGAAAGTGTTATTTTTGTTGAAAGAATTTGTGTTGATTGAAAAAGGAAAAACCTGCAGAAGAGCCAAAAAAAGGAAAGGCTAGAAAGGAAATAGAAGAGAAAAATTAAAAGCCCTGAGAGACGTCTCAGTGTGCTCAGAAAAAGACTATAGCAAAGAGTGGAGTGAATTAAAAATCTCCGCATTTTTCTGGAAAGGAATTTTAGAAGAAAAACTCAAGTGAAAAGAAATATTTTTGAAAGAAAGAACTTAGAACAAGAATATCCCCAAAAAAGGATCCCAATTCTAGTCATTAAAAATGTCTGATGTGTATGCCGAATTTAGAGAATTTGCCCACCTATCAGCTTCTCAACAGGTGAAAAAAGCAGAATTGAAGGTTAATCATTATGGCCTCCAAATTGATGATATAAAAAGGGAAATGGAAGCTGCTGAGACAACCAAAGCTAGAAAGATCACCCTACAGAATTTACTACAAGAACACGAAACATCAAAAAAAAATTTGGACTGACATATACAAGGATCTCCAACCAAGTGTACAAGCTATTCAAGAATCCTCCGCAATAATAGAAGGAGTACAAGCAAAAATACTAACACAGCTAAATGAAAACGAAGCTGAGAAGAAAAGAAGAGAACTCAACGAGATGATAGGAATAAAAGAAGCGTATTTGAAGAACAATATATCTACTGCACAACTCCAGAGACCCAGTGCAGCAGAAACCCTCTTTTTTCAAATGAAGACCAATAAAGAAGAAGGAACTACTGGAAGTACACAAAGTACAAATACTATCATTAACAACATTCTCCCCTTTTTTGGAATGGAAAAACAAAATTGGTCAGAGTGGTGGACAGTATTCAAATTGGCTGTTGCTGACGCCAATTTATCCAACACTCAAATGAGAAACATACTTCTCCAAAAAATACAAGGTCCAGCAATGAATATATTGTTATCAGTCCCTGGAATCCTGGAAGGAGATTATTGCTACATCATCCAACATTTACAAAATACTTATCAAAAAGCCTCAATGGACAACGCAATGAGAGAAATGAAAAGGATCACTCAAGGTGCAAATGAAAGAGTAAGAGATTATGCTGCTCATATTAGAAGGACCGGAAACCAAGTACTTGGAGAACTACCAAGCGAATTAAAAGTGATCAGAAAAGATGGTGAAGAACCACTCATCACAACTAACCCCATATACCAAGAAGAATTAATAGAAATATATGGAATACAAAAATTATTAGACAACGTCATGACTGAAGTATTATTTCTACTGGGATTGAAAAAATCAATATACAGCAAATTTCCTCTTGTACCTGTAAATATGGATCATGCAGTGGAATTGGCTACAAATGCCGAAGAACTACAACTAAAAATGCAAGGAGCAGAAGATTACAAAGTATACCACATGAGAAAAGGAATACAACAATTAAATGTCTCCAATCCATGGGAAAAAGAAAAGGAAACTTGATCCTGTTATACCTGTGGAAAAGTGGGACATCTGCAAAAGGACTGCTACCATAACAAAAGAATATATGATCAGTCAGACAGAAGACAAGTAGGATTCAATAGCAACCTACCATCATATTCCAAGGACTGCAGCAGAGGAAGATCCCCTGCTCCGTACTCTGGAAGACAACACCGATCCTCTACACCTACTCGTTTCAACAGAGATAGAAAACCCCCAAGATCCTCTTCAAGGAGCCCTCATCAACGAATGAGAAGCAAAAGCCCTCACCATTGCAACAACTTTAAAAAACCAAATGATGAATGAAACAGAGAACAATATCAACCTTATGGAAATTTCTCTGAAAAGAAAATAAACCACCTGGCAGAAAAAGATTTTGTATCTGACAAAGAAGAAGAAGAAAAGGAGATTGCGTTTGCTGGAGAAGAAGAATCAAGTTTGGGAAACAAATACTGACCAGAATTTCTACAACGGGACCTAAGAAGTTACCGGTCATCATATTAAAAACATCTGTTACAACTGTCACAGTTAAATTCTTGGTGGACACAGGTGCAGAAGTTTCTGTATTATCCTCAGCACTACTCAATTCATCAGTGTATCCTGTTTCTACTTCTACCACAATTTCTACACTGGAAGGAAACCAAGTACAGATCCAAGGTCAATTGCAAGCTGAATTACTCCTGAATTCTCCCGCTACAGTTAATTTCATCATCATTGATCTACAACATCAAGGATTTGAAGGAATAATTGGAAATGATGCACTTTGAAAATTACATGCTATCATAGATTATCCTTTAAATCTTATCCAGCTCAACAATGTCAAAATACCTTTCTTCTCCAAGGAAAATTCAAAATATTGCATTAAGCAACTTCATACCTTGCCTGCCACTACTTTGTCTCAACAATTGGAAGAGGCAGACAAATTTGGACTATATCCTCTCCAAACAACTATTGTACCAAAATCTTCACAACTTATGGTGCTAACAAAATCTGCCTCAACCAAAGGATCCACTGAAGTATAAGCAGACATGTATATATATAATTGCCATCAACCTGACCTGCTCATTGGAAGAAGTTTATCAAGAATGAAAAATAACCAAGTGTATGTTTTATGCCTCAACTTAACTAATGAAGACATCATATTGAAGCCTAAACATATGTTGGCTTTTGCATCATATTTTGTACATATTCCTCCAAAGAGGATATATATGCTTAACCAAACTACATCAAAGGAAAGAATACATGGAAAATCCAAACAGAAGAATATTGATATGCTCATCGAAGAAAATTTACGACAGTCAGAATGCCCATCATACTTGATACCAAAAATGCAACAACTACTTCAAAAATACAAAAAGGTACTAGCTTTGAAGACGGACAACTTAGGTTTATGTGAAATATACCAAGCAGACATACCACTGGATACCGCTCCCCCTATATATACCCAACAATACCCAATACCTTTTGGTATGCGCCCGCTATTGGCCAAATACGTGGAAGAACTATTGGACAAAGAAATTATACAACCCTCAAAAAGTCCTTACAACAGCCCAACACTCATGGTGAAGAAAAAGGACGGAGGATGGCAAATGGTGGTTGATTTTTGCCGCCTAAACGATCACGTCATAATGTATCCCCATCCGCTTCCCAGGATCAATCAAATATTTGAGGAACTAGGAAACGCCAAATATTTCACCACTTTGGACCTACTCCACGGATTCTACAATTTAAAAATATGCAAAGAAGAACGATGGAAAACCGCGTTTTCAACACCCCTTGGAGACTATGAATTCATTAGACTCCCCATGGGTTTAAAAAATAGCCCCTCCATATTTCAAAGACTGATGAATTTGGTCTTGGATGGATGCCTAGGAATGTACGCCTACATATACATCAACGATATAGTGATATATTCCAAGGACGAAAAACATCATTTTCAACACCTGACTGACATACTACAGCAACTGGAAAAAGCTGGATTAAAAGTGAAATTCAGCAAGTGTGAACTTTTTTGAACCCAAATCAAATATATTGGCTTCTTAATCAGCCAAGAAGGTGTTATCCAATGGTTGTAAGAATAAAAAGATAAATCAGTTGCGCTGACGTCTCTGTGCAAAAGATCTTACTTAATTCCTTAACTTGACAATTGACAACTTTTAGATGAGAAGTATTAACTCGTATTCTGGATTACTTAGAAATGAAAAGGTCTTCTCAAAATAAGTGCAATGATGTATTTTCAGTAACAGCAGCTTGGTCAGACAGACTCTCAACAGACAATGAATGCCAAAGGTATGCTCGGGCATCCTTTTATAGATTTGATGGTACACAGGTGAATGACTGGTCATGAACCAGCATAGCGGAAAAGTAAACTGGATGCGCATGACCTCAATACACTCGTTTCTATACGCGGTATAACGGGATACACAAGTCACATGGAATGTACACCAAGTCAAGTATTCTACATTAGTCAGGGTACACTCAAATAATATAAGATGACAAACTCTCCAAAGACAAATAAAAAGAAAAGTTCCATCTTTTCAGAAGTGAGTCAAAAGTGAAATAGGTCACAATTTTTCACAAGTGGAATTTTTCCTCTGAAGTGCACTTGAAGTGCTACACTGGCAATACAAAAGTAAGGAGGCATGTCTGGGCATCAATATCTGATGTGGTTCCCATATGACAGCCATCCAGCCAAAACAGGATTCCACAAAGGGGAAATGTGAGGGATGCTGGGGAATGTCAATCCCCACACCCTGAGGAACAAGAATTCCAGACAAGTTTTACAACTTGTTTTCCTGAAATGTGACCTGAAAGAATTGAGCTCATTCTGAGTGATTTTCTGGTGGAGTGAGCATCCCTTATTCTGAGTGAGTTAAGCCCTGTGAAGGTTGCTAATTATTCTTGCATTAGTGCATCTCCAGTGACAAACATTTTTCGATTTTAGCAGGTTTTTCTCAAGGAAAAGAAGAGAGCTGCGAGGTGACGCGGCAAGACGATGCAACCAGACAACAACAGAAAAAGACGACGACGCGCCGCAAGAGCTTTGAAGAAATCGGGTCTCTGGGTATTTCTGAGTTATCTGGTGCCTGAAAACCAACAAAAATGGAAACAAAGTACACCAGAATAACGGTCAGAAAAATGAAAACATTTCAAGTCATAAATTTACAAAAATCTCCAATTTTTTCAGGTATTGGTGATTGCATTGGGGTGGCTCCTGGTGGATGCTGCCCCTTGCTCTGATGTTGCAGGGAGATTGGTGTGCAATGACATCTGTGAGGCTGGGGAAGCAGCTCCTGGCTTCAACTTTGCTGTGGACTTCTTTGGTGATAGACTGGACCTTGACTGTGTGAAGCACCATCATCTGGAGGTAAGAACTAAAGTCTTGGATTAAGAATTTAGTAATCCAGCACAATCGTTTTTCTTTTCAGAAAGTGAAGTTGTCTGAGCCCACATTCTGCAGAGGGAAGACTACAGGCATGGAGAGGGTAGTCTTTCCTTGGGATTTCTGCTACTTTGACTTCAAAAGTGAGTATACCTAAATTTGAAGAAAATTAACTGCAAGCTCCCTATATCTTGACCTATTTTTCAGAGAATGAGGTACAGACAACCAAGGAAGGATTCAAGCAGGCAGTTTTGGGCACTCCTACTGGAGCAGGGGTGCTGAAAATTATTCAGGATGAAGTTCAGAAGGAAGTTCAACAACAACTGGCTGTTCCTGTGCTGGTCCCTGGAGAAGTGGTTTTCAAAAAGGATGAGGCACCAGAAAAGTCTGCCAGAACTGAAAAGGATGTCATTCCACCAGCAAGGGCCATCATTCCTGTGGTCAAAAATCCAGTGGTCCCAGAAGTTAGCATCATGGGCCTTGGTTCTGGGTCTGGTTCTGGGTCTGGTGAATTAAGTCTGGAGAACCATGAGACCAGTCTGTTGGACTCCATAGTTGAGGCCACTCAGATGAACATCACAACTGTGGACAAGAATGGGAAAGTGACTCAAACAGTTGTGCCTTGGTACATTCTGAAGATTTTGGTTTGGTGCGCTGGTGCCTTCACTTCCTTGGCCGCAGTAGTAACCGGACTGGTTTGCTGCCGTAATCAGGCTAAGGTGTGTTACTAAAAACTCAGAAAGGTTGAGGTAATTTTCTATAACCTGCCTGTGCTTCTGCTTAATACTAACTGCTTAACATCAGAAAGGAGCAGTAAAGTTAACTGGTAAAAAATGCTGGTCATTTGATGCTGAGAGAGTAGGTAGTGAAACGTCGACTGGTACAGCTATAACCAATCTCTCTTTTGGGGAGGTGTTGGAGATGGCTGAATTATCCAGACGTTCTGCTACCATTTGTCCAGTCAACAGACAATTTAGCAGTGAGCTCCCTTTCTGTAACCATGTTTTGCTTCTTGCTTTTTGCTGAGCATGTTTTTGTTCCAGCGTTTACAGGCCAGGTTGAGGCACCCAGGGATGCTCGGCATGCTGTGGCATGTGCTGTGGCCGGTGGTTTGTCTTTGGATGATGAGGAATCGGCATGCTGATCCCCACCAAGATCTGGACACAACCCAGGCCCAGGCAGATGCTCAGAGCATGGAGTCATTCAAGACTGTGAATGAAGAATAGATCGCGCGCATAATTTCGGTGCGGTTAGGCTTTTTGTTGCAGTTAGGAACCTGCAATAAAATGCTTTCAGAGAGAACTGTTGTTTCACTGTTTTTGTTTTGTTCCCTTTCAGGTTGGCTCCAAACTTCAACAGGATCTTCATTGACAACTACACAGTTTCACAGAGAACAGTACACAAAAATCAAGAGACATATGTATTCATACAGATTCACCACAGTTTCATTTAATAGGCATTAATCCAGTGGAATTAATTTGCAGTCTTGGATATAGAGGGGCAGATGGGGCAGTTCTGTTAGGCACTAGTTCAATAGTAGTCCCTTCAGTAAGGTCAATATTGCGGTGTCTTCTTCTTCTGATTACATATCTAATTTTTGCAAAACAGAGGTAGGAAATACTGAGTAAGATGATACTTAGTAACACTATAGAGACAATGAGATAAATATATCCATAATCTCTGAAATGTAATTGAATATCACTAATATCTTCTATTACAGTATTTCTTGGTTCAGATGCTGGAACTTCATTTACAGCATTGATTTCAACATTTTCTAATTTCGGAATGACGCCTTTAAAAGGTCCATTGATTATTGTATACCTGCAACGTGGTTTAAATCTGAGAATACCTGAGTAAGGCAATTCATAGGAATTTTCTGTTGCTGGTAAGGTTCTGTCTTCAGAAGCTGCACAATATTGAGTAATTTGGCCCTTGTCAATATCCACATAAGCAAATTCATCCCTGTCCAACTGAACAACCTTGTTTTCTGGCTCTTTGATTTGTTTGAGCAGACATGCAGTTTTTATATCTGCGTCGTTACTTCTGCTTTGAATCTTTTGAATACACATGTCTGCACTTCTGGTGGGAGTGTGCTGGAATCGACAAATTTGGCAACCAGTATAACCTAGTGGTTTTAAGCAGGTTGGGATTTCATATGCGTTGATACTGAAAAGATTTCCATTTTGACGAAGTAAATGGGAATGGGAGATAGAGACTTGTAACCATTTAGGGGTTCCAATATAAGTAGGTTCAGCTATGGGTAAAGCATGTACCCTAAATAGTTCGTAAATCTCTGAATTTCGGATCACTGGAGCAATTGTTAGTAAGTTGAATACACAAGTTTGATTAGCGTCAGTAGGGTTTAAACAATCAAACGTTCCCATAGTGACCGGGTTAGAACGAATCACATCAAACATTTCTGTAGCTGTTGGACCTGTGATAGGGGCCTTGTGTTCTGTAACTATGATTTCCTTCAGAACACTCTCTACTTGTCTGTAACTAAAGACGTGCCGGGGAAAATTGAACTGTTGTACTTCTTCGATATCTTGCATTAGAAAAAGAGTCAGGTTGGTCAATTGTGAAACCTCCATGCTGAACAGTAGGGTTTTCATCCAGACTTCATGTGAGAGTTCTATTGATTTGTTAATGTCTTTTAAGAGAGATGAAAGAAGGTCAGAATGTGTAAATTCTTCAAAAGCAAACAGAGTAGAAGTGCGTAGGAAAGCTCTTTTTTCTTGTACCTGTATTTTGTCAATTTTCACAATCCTTCTTTCAACGATAGGTAAGAGATTTAAATAATGCATGTCTTTTTTCGGGGTGGCCAGAACACTTTGAACCTTTGTTGCCAAATTCTGAGTAACTGACTCGAGTTGTTTTATTTTATGACTCAGAAGATCCATTGTGGTTAAAGTGGCAGTAGAGTAATTTGCTTTCCCCATTTCCTGATTTGAAATAAAGGTACTTGAGAATTCATGACCTATTTTTTGTATTTCGTACAGCGCTTGGATGAATTTTCCCAGATCTACCGAGGCTTCTAAAGTCCAAAAATTAGTAGGAATACAGACTTGGTAGAGATCTTCCACAGTTACGCCAACATTGCCCGGGAAATTTCTTATGGGTGATACCTTGTCAAACCTGTTGCTATAAGACACCATTCCCTTGTCGTTGTTAATTTCTTCTATGATCAGGGTATTAACACTGCTTGTTAGGACACAGAAAAAGAGAGCGTTTGTTAACATGTTTCTCAGCGTAGGATCCAAAGGAGACTGAGCCTGTCATTTAGACGGGTGCCTGCGCTTAGACTCGTTCCGTGTCCTGCTTGGAAGAATGTTTCCTAAGTCCAATCCGGACAGCATGCGGGACCTTGGTATCTTGGAGGCTTGTTTGGCTGCCTTTCTTTCCAGTTCTTTCGCTTTCTTCTTTTCCCTCTTTTTCTTGCTCTTACTCATTACAGTTACAGTAGTTATGTAGTTAGTAGTTATGTAGTTATTACAGTTCTAGTACAGTTCCTGTTGATGCCGCGGCTGCAGCTGTGGATACGTGAGTCGGTGGTGTTTGGAAAACATAATCCGCATCTGAAACTATCCTTGACCTTTGTGGAGTACTTTTGGCTCCTGGAGGGGCAAGGGTACTCTCGTTTGTTGTTGGCAGAGTCTGTTTGTCCTTGTCACTTTTGTCCGATCCAGGCGACAGGAACCTTCCCATTTCGGTGGTCACTTCTGAAAAGAGCTTAGAAATAGATTTAGTAGGGCTACTTGAGTCACTTTTTGGTTCTCTTCGTCTAGCTATAATAGTCTGGTTTGGGTCATCTGCAGAGACAAAGGACTCATTAACTTCTTCAGTGTCCATTTCTTTGTTCTCAACCCTAGTTGGAGATACAGTGGGTGTTTCATAGAATAGGAGTTCAGGTATGTGTTCTTGCGAGCTTTCCATACCATTTGTCGTCCTAGTATCTTCAGCTTTTTTGGAACTAGTGGATGTGTCTAAAGTTAAGGGCACCTTTGGAGGAGATATGGATATTTCTGGTAAAGAAACAGGTGGAGAAATTGTCGTCCCTTTTGTTGCCCCTGTGCTAGAGGGCACGCTTTGGATTGATGAGGTGATGTCATCATCGAGGTCATCAAACTCCAGTATCTCTGCCTGTTGATTCTCTGACTGTCGAGAAATGCTAGAAGGTCTCTTAATATAGTGTCTGACATAACTAATGTGGACCACGTAGGTCCATTCAGGATGTTCATTGTCGCGTATTCTTACTACGACGGGGTTTATTATTTCTAGTACAGTATACGGACCCTTATACTTAGCACTCCATTTCTTTCCCACAAACGTCAGGGGATGCTGTCTTAACCAAATTTTGTCTCCAGGCTTGTATACAGTACCTTTTTGATAGACGTTTAGCCTTTCCAAATAGGACGCCTGTCCTTTTCGGATTGCTGCTTGGGCTTGTTGTCTTAGCACGTCTAGGCTGTCTTTCTTGAAGTCAAGGAACTGTTGAATATTCTGGAATTCTTCCAGATTTTGCAGACCAGACAACCAATTCCTGCGAGGTTTTAGTCCTGTAACTATTTTGAAAGGAGAAGCTTGAAGAGCTTCATGTTTAGAAGAGTTATGGACCCAGACTGCTAATTTTAACAATTCATCCCACATACTCTTGTTATCTGGGTCGAGATAAACAGCTAGATATTCATGCAGCTCTTGATGTCAACGCTCATTTTGCCCATTACCCTGAGGCCAATAAGCGGTGGTAGTGTTAGCCCTGGCTCCCAAAAAATTAGCCATATCCTTAAAAATGCTACTGACAAAATTGGTTCCTTGATCTGTTAGAATCCTTTTTGGGGATCCAAACATACATACCCAATCAGTAAGGAATATTCACGCGGTGGTTTGCGCAGAGGCATCACGCATGGGAGAAAAGACAATCCATCGGGACAGCCTATCTTGCATAACTAGCACGTATCGGTTTCCTCTTTGACTATTTGGTACGGGACCCACTACGTCAATACTGACATCCTCGAAGCAGTTTTTAGGGATACCCATTGAAAGAAAAGGGGTCTTGTGAGCGTAATTCTTCGCCTTTTGACACTCAGTACATGATCTAATGTATGAGGTAACATTCTTTTCCAGGTTTGGCCACGTGAATTCTTCTTTTATTGCAAAAGATGTCTTATCAATCCCACAATGCCCCATGGCTGGAGGATCATGGAAACTTGCGATTAGTTTCATTCTCATAGATGGTGGTACCCAGATTCTTTGACCCTTATCCGTGGATTTCATTAAAAGACCATCTATAATTGAAAATTCAGCTCCAGAAGGTAGTTTGTCTTTCACTGCTGTCGTTGCCCATCGTTGCCCGTTGGAGGAGACCACGAGATATATATGGGATCAGGTTTGTTTCCAATAATGAGGGAGACAGATATGCGCATAGTTTGTTCTTTCTTGGCTCCGGGGGGAATCGACTGAGGGCATCGGCATGTGGTATCGCAAGGCCTTTCCTATACTCGACTTTGTATTGGTATTCATTCAAAGCCATGAACCAGGCTATTGCCCTGCGGCTATCACTCTGGCGTTGTTGACTGAGATAGGGGATAGCAATATGGTCCGTTCGGATGGTGAATGGATGACCCCATAGATACGACCTAAATTGGGACACACCATAATAAACAGCTAACAATTCCCTGTCCATATTCGGGTATCTCGACTCGGCATCATTCAATGTTCTGCTAGCACATCCTATCAGGACTTCCCTTTTTTCCGGGTTTTTGAGTTAGAATTGCCCCTACTGCTATGGCAGAGGCATCAGTTGTGAGAATAAATTCTAAATTAAAATCCGGGAAAGAAAGAATGGGTGCCGTTAAAAGACATTTCTTCAGACATTCCACTGCATCTTGCTGTTCCTTTGTCCAAATGAAAGGGACATCCTTCTTCAGGAGGAGGTACAGTGGTTTTGCTTTTACAGCAAAATTCTGGATATACGACCGGAAATAACCTACTAAGCCTAGGAAGGCTTGTACACCTTTAACATCCTTTGGTATAGGGAAGTTCTGTATAGCATCTACTTTTGCGGGGTTAACTCGGATACCGGCTTTGCTGATGAGGAATCCTAGGTATTCTATTTCGGTCCGGAAAAGTTGACACTTGGAAAATTTAACTTTCAACCCTGCACCATCCAATCGAGTTAGTATATCCAATAAATGAGTCAAATG